TGGCCTCTGCTTCTCAGGAGAACCAGAACAACATATTCAAGCTGATGAAAAGCACAGCTTTGCAAGACAAAGACTAAAAGGAGACATAAAGGAGGAAGAGAGGGAGTTTATCTATTTGGGTTAGCTGATAGACGTGCCCAGAACTCTCAACAATGCACAAGAAATTAATAACAGTGGTATGCTATGTGAGGTTTTGGGAAGAATGAATGGGGACAAGAGCTGGGAGAGAAACTTTTCAAAGTATACCCTATAATATACAGTTCCTTGATTTTCCAAGCAAGTAAATGTACAATAATTTGAAAATGTAAAATTATATATTTGGATTTAAAAAAAAAAAAACATGAATTGGAGAGAAAAACAAAGTATACCCTTTGGAGATGGATCCGAGTTGGAGTCTCCACTCAGCTGGTGATTTTGGGAGAATAATGGATCTCGGGAGGGTCACTGGGCTCTTGGATTCCAGATATCAGTGAGTTGCTTTTCTCCTTGAATTCTGTGATCTCATTCACTGGCTCTCAAGAAGGCATATTCTGCCAGCCCCATTGCCACTGGGCTTGGCCTTGGACTCGCTCGGGCTAGGGGCCTGTGAGGCCACGAGCTAGTGAGTCTGAGAGGCTCTCAAGAACCAGTGCACTAAGCAGACCTTGCTGTCCCTTCCTTCCGCCAGGGAACCACAAGTCCTGAGCTGGGGGGAAGGGGGGAGGAGCCAGGCGGTGGGGGAGGAAGGATGGGCAGGGAGGTGTCGGGGTGGGGAGTGTGGGGGTGGGGAGGGCCGGCAGAGGGGCTGCTTTGACAGCTTGGATTCTTGGAATAAAGCTGCTGAGTCACAGCTGCTTGTAGCTGCCGCCCCCTGATGTGTCTTGCGAGCAAAGCAAACTTCTGTGGTTGAAAACCACTGTGGTTATTCCCTCAACTTTTTATTTTTATAAAAATTTCAGAATAAGGTTGAAAGGGTATTATGATCGACACCTCACTTAGCTTCCCTGGTTGCTAACATTTTGCCACATTTGCTAAATTTCTCTTGCTCCCACTCCAGATATAAAGCCCTTGATTTCTACTGAGGCATTGGAGTTATAGGCATGATGATGCTGTACCCCTAAATCTTTCCACGTTATATCCTAAGAACATGGACTTTCTCCTGTATGACCATAATACTGTTGCCAGGTCCAAAAAAACACAGTTTTTTTGTTTACCGCTGTTATCACCAGCAGTGATATTGTTTACCATACAGTTCATATTCAAATTTGTCAAAATAATATCCTTGGAATTTTTTTTTCCTTTCTGATCCAAAACCCAGGTGAGGATCATACTCATCATCTATCTCTCTAGTCTCCTTTAATTTAGAACAGTTCCTGAACTCTTTTGGTTCCTCTCTCGTGGAACCGAGAGCTTAGACCAGTTGTTTTGTGGAATGTATCATTTCCTGGATATATCTGATCTCTCTTCCTCATGATTCTTTAGATTCAGGTCAAACAGTTGTGGCAGGAATATTACACGTGTCCCGTTGTTTATTCCAACCGGGAGGCACAAATAATGTGATTGTTCCATTGGGGTAATGATAAATTCTGACCCCTTGTTAAGTTGTCCACCAGATTTCTCCAATGACGTTTCCTTTAGCCCTCTGTGGAGATAATCTGTGGGGTGATACTTAGACACTTGGTGAATATCTTGATCCCAACAAAATTTCTCCACTGCTTTCAGCATCCATAGGTGATCCCTTTCTGAAACAATTATTACCTGGATAGTTGTGGAGTGGTGATTCCCTGGTGCCACCCCCCCACCCCATTCTGTTATTCTATTATGTGGATTTTGTAAAGAAAACTTCCTCTCTGCTCCCATTTATTTTTGAGTATCACTATGGACTCATGGATTTTTTAAAAACACATATAATGTTATAATCCTTCATCATTATCCTTTTTGTTATTTAAACTGTTCTGAATTTGTACAACGGGAGCTCTTGTCAACCTGGATCCTGGGTCCTTTTTACATGTTTCTGCCTGCCTTTTGAGAATTTTCCTGTTTTCTGGCACAGTAAGATGTTCTAGGCTGACCTTTGATATTTACTGCCACAGACCTGATGATTCTTTTTATTTGCGAGAGAGACTGAGAGAGTGAGACTAAGATTTGGGGAGAAAGCTGATAAAGGAGGCCGGAAAGGAGATTTAGCATTAGCAAATATCTTGAGGGAATTCTTGACCAAAGATTTACCTTGGGTAGGTCTCTCAGGTTTCCCCAAAGCCGAATCTCCTCTTCTGGAAAATAAAGATTATTATACCTATTGAATGAGTAGGTTTGCAAAAATGAACAAACCTGATTGATTGGCATATGTTCAACGTTCAATTACCATTACTGACATACTTCCAACCAAGTTAATTTCTGCGATACTTGAGATTTCCAATTACTGTTCCCACTGTGGTTGACTTATGATTAAATTTGTTTAAATTTATGTTCTGAGGGGCTGCCTGGGTGGCTCAGTGGGTTAAGCCTCTGCCTTCAGCTCAGGTCATGATTTTAGGGTCTTGGGATCGAGTCCCACATCGGGCTCTCTGCTAGGCAGTGAGCCTGCTTCCTCCTCTCTCTCTCTCTACTTGTGATCTCTCTCTGTCAAATAAATAAAATCTTTAAAAAAAATTTATGTTCTGAGGCTTTGTTTAAATATTGCTCTACAATCAGATGGGGGTAAAATCTAAAGGACTGATGAACAAAGGTCTTTCAAGGGAGTAAGTATATATAAGTTTAAGAAGGAAGCAAAAGACACACACACATACCCTGCAGATGTATATGTATACTTTGTGGTTTGAAATAGGATCTTAAATGAGAGGTAGCATAGTAAAACTTGACCGGCCTTAAGTCCAAGATTGGCTGCTTCCATTTCTTATCTTACAAGGGAAGGGAATGACACTCCCTGAGCAATTGATGTGAATGTAAAATTCAGAACAAGAAGACCCATGTATAGAGGCAGGGAGTATTTCATTTTTCTTCCAGTTTTGTAACTGACACACAACACTGTTTAAGGTGTACGGCACAAAGACTTGAAACACAGGCATATTGCCCGAGGATTAGCACAGGATGTTAGTATCTGTTGCTTCAGAGATTGTGACGAGAACTTTGAGGATTTATATTTTTAGCAACTTTCAAATATACCATATTGTTAATGACAGTGATCATGTTGGACATTACTTCCCCAATACTGATTGATCTTATAGCTGGAAGTCTACTTGCTGACCACATTTCATCCAGGTCCCCAAGGGAAGGCAGGGGTGCCTTGCCCAGTATCTGTTCTTTAGCCGGTGCCGCCCCCTGGTGGTGACATCTTCCCATTGCAAGTCGGAGCCGAGGGGAAAAGGCCACGGGCTTAATTTGTAAACTTAAACGCCCCAAGTAAAGCCACAGCGTTCGACAACTCTGAATAAACATCATTATCATACTTCACCCAGGTTATACGTGCTTCGATAGCAATAACACGCTGTTATGACAGAGGAGTTAGACCCTGAGCTGGAACTTCCCGCAAAGGAAGTCAATCATTCAACACGTATTTATTGAGTGCCTACTGTGTGCCGGGCACGGCTCTGGCCCCTTGGGATAAGAGACAAAATTCCACCCCAGTGAGATAGGGAAACTGAGGGACTCCATAAAAATCTGCTTTTTGTTCCTTTTCCTGCTTCTATTCTTGCTAGGACCTGCACCCCCACTTTACACATGCCTTATAATACAAACAGTGTGTATCCTCTTTGTAAGGGACCAGGAGTGAATGATTTCTTTAGAACAGATAATTTCTATTCCATTCCATTCAGGTGAGAATGGCGAGGAAGCGTTCCTATGGTATTCCAGACCACCAGAGCTAGACATCTGGACACCAAGATC